TCAGTTATAAAAAGTGAAAAGGTGAATTTGATAGTGTCCATCAAATATTGACTTAAGTTTTCTGCTCTATGCAAACTGTACAAAACGTTCTAAAATTTTTTTCTGGAACACCTTTGCAACTTCATCCTTTTCAACATGTTCAATATTCTGGTTGAATTTTTCAGCTTCATTTTTTCAAAGATAATTCTTTTAGTATGTACTTATCTTGTCTAGAATTGAATTTTGAATCTATGGGAAAAGAATTTGTTTGAAAAAAAAACAACAATGAAAATTGACAGAATTCTACTGACAATTATGAGACTTTCTTTTGTCTAGGAGAACCATTTACTAAAATAAGAGAAATAAATGATCTGAAAATTTTTATGCTATGTTCTACTCGATGATTTTTTTTATCCTTTTTTGCGCCTGTTTCTATGTGCATACTAAACATTTAGTTGTATCTTTAATAGGTAAATAAATCGAAGAGATAATGTAATTTAGTATGGTTAAAGAATCGCAGAGTATTCATCTTTCCTGTTTCTCATAGGTACTCACTACATTGTATTTTAACAATAATCAAATTGGAAATAATGGAACACAAAAGCTCGTTGAAGGACTGAAATCACATAATGTAAGCTGTTTTATCAGTTGACGTATCTAGTAGCAATACTGACTCTCTCAGTAGAACTTATATTGCATTGCTTATAATCAAATGTTAAAGTGAAGATTAGCATAGGAATATTCTTAAGGGCATATTTGTTAAGGTCTTATATTGTCTCGATTGAATAAAACTCATGAATATTCAACTTGTTCAAATTAAGTCTAGAGGAATTTATCTATCAATTAAATAATTAAATTTTTCATTTATCAACTAGTAACAGAATAATTTTCTATGAGTTCTTATCATCATATTATACAAGAAAGTAATCATGTTCAAAATTGACATGTTTCACTCGTTTTCTTTTTTTGTATAAGAAAATTCTGTTCTTTTTTGATATTCATTTCAGAACAAAAATAATTAAACCTTTCTCTCAAACGTAAGATGCAATAATTTTCAACGTTTCTACTATCAAAATCTCTCAGGAATGAAAATAGTCAATTTTAAAAAATTTTCTTGGTTTCGAAGTTTAAAAGTTCGATTTTAACACCCAATATCAATAAAATCAAATATTTCTCATCAAATATCAAAAGGATATTTGGTCATATCCTTCTTATAATAACTTCTAAAGTAGATTATTCTAGTAAATAATAACTTCGGCATCTTCTCATTATAGTTCAGTTATGAGTATTAATTCTTCATTAAAAAAAAACTCGATTTCTCATAAATTAATTAAAAGAAGAGGAATTTTCATCAGCTTTTTCATCTAAATCTCTCGAACATGAATATTTTCAATCGTGGAAGTATCTTCTTATTTGCATATAAAGGAATTATGATACATTTGAGATTCAGCTCGCAATTAAAGATATTCTGATTTAATATTCACATAGTACTACAAAGAGGTTGATCGATGTTTGATTCCCTTACTACCTAGTAAATCGAACAATCTTTTTTTCTCAGAAAATAATTTCAAAGCATTTTTTATTCCAACAAATAAGAAAACTAATATAGGTTTCATTTCGAAGTTAAATAGAAAAGGGTGTAAGTGTGGGTGTGGATGTGGGTGTGTGGGTGTGGGTGTGTGGATGTGGCTGTGCGTATGGGTGTGGGTGTGGGTAAAAACGAGACATACATCCGCACTCACACCCACACCCACACCCACATCCACACCCACACCCACCCACATCCACACCCACCCCCACACCGACACCCACACCCACACTCACACCCACACCCACAGCCACCCTCATAAACATCTTTGCACAATAAAGGCCTGGAATAACTCGGCAATGAGTCCGGTCGAACCGATCTATTTCAATTTCGGTCGATGGATGAATGAAATTAATAGTAAAAGACCATATTTGAGTGCTCATGCCCATGCCCACTTATTACTTACTTCAGATGCTATTAAAGTATTCACCACTTGCCCAGACCGCCGTCTTTCTGGTGCGACAGGATGGTACGCCTACAGTTTGGCGGAATGCTGGCGAGATCCAGATGACTATGAATTTGATGATACTGTCAGCCTACAGAATAGCCGTCTACTAACATACCATATTAAAACGACAAATGAAAACATTGAAAGCATCAAGGGAGACATTAAAAGAATAAAAAATGACGTTGAAGAAATAAAGAAAACCATGTCTACTAGAAGTCAAATAGGGGAGATCAAAGAAATCCTCAAGAAACGAATGTCAGATTCTCAATCTTCATTAGTGTAAAGCAATGAATCATCGGGTTTATTGATCGAATCTCACTCAACAAGTGTGCCGAACTTGAACGATAGTGGCTCAGATGGAACAAGTAATACAAACGAAAGTTTCATTGTAGCAACTTCTATTGATTCAACCATTACTGAAATCAGTCAAACATCAAATTCGAAACCTTCTTCGTCTCTAACCTCAATTACATGTGCTCCACTTACAACTGTAAACACGAACATACTCAGCAACAGCACCATCACGCCTAATACTGGGCACCAATCACAAGCGCAACTCTTCATAAACATCGTCCACGCTCCACGGTCCTCGACATTGGCCGAAGCTGGGTGTGGGTGTGGGTGTAGATGTGGGTGTGGGTGTAGGTGTAGGTGTGGGTGTGTGTGTGGATGTGTGGTATGGGGTATGGGGGTGGGTGTGGGCGTGGGTGTAGTGAGTGTGGGTGTGGGTGTGGGGCGTGGGTGTGGGTGTGGGTGTGAGGTGTGGGTGTAGGTGTGAGTGTGGATGTGGGTGTACGTGAGTGTGGGCGTAGTAAGAGAGAATATTAACAGTCCCACCTACCCACACTCACACATACCCACACCCACACCGATCCCACATAAACCCACACCTACACCCCACCCGCACACCCACACCCATATCCCCAAGCTCACACTCATACACACCCACACCGACACCCACCCCCCACCCACACCCTACACCCACACCCCACCCACACCCTACACCCAC